AGTCTCCCTGATCTCTTCATCTTGATGCGCTTTGGATACTTTTTATGCTGCTTACGTTGGCACTCTGGAAATAATTGGGTTTTGATTGTTTGTGGTCGTTCTGGGTGGGCTCTTTCCTCCTGCTCGTTTACTGAGGATCACTCTGCCCGCCATATCTTGTATGTTTTTGTGCTGTTGCAGTCAGGCTGTGTTAAAGCTGATTCTTCTGTGTGTTGGAGGTTATAAGGCTTCTCTCTCACTATTGTTCAGTTTTTTGTTCTGGGTGATTTCTCCACAGTTTAGTTGTAATTCCAGATTTGTCCTGGGAGAAGTTCAGAGTGACTTCCTTTCACTCCTCTACCATCTTGCCAACCTCCATCTTGGAAATATGTAGGTTCCATAATAAAGTGAGCATTACAATAAAGTGAGCTGTAATCTTATTGGTGCTGGGTTTTGCTTTCAATTTGTATAAAATTGTAATACCTGTAAAGCTCAAGAAAGCAAAACTCAACAAAACCAGGTATACCTGTATATCCTCCAGCCTTGAATCTCAGTCTCTGTGACTGCCTCCATTTCTTTCCACTTTCTTTCTGGAGATTTGTTTCATTTGGTGAATGTTTCTTTATTTCCCCATTTTAACTTCCTCTTTGTGTTTGCTTCTAAGTATTAGGTAGATCTGCGGTGACTCCCTATCTTCTTAGGGTAGGCTTAGGTAATAGGTGTCCTGTGGAACTCATTGGCACAATCTCACTGACCCCTTTAGCCTATTACTCCAGGATTGACCCTTGTGTGGATTATGTGGGCCCTACTTTTATAATTGTCTTGATTCCTTTGGCTTGTTCATGCATGGGGTTGACCCTGAGTCTGGGCGATTGTGAGGATTGACTCTAACTACAGTGTACAAGCTGCTGTTCAAATGCTGATTACTGGATGTGCCATGTTCATCTCAGCAGGGTCCAGTGCCTACTAAGATCTTCCTTTGGATATGCCACTTTTTAAGATAATTGGGTTCTGCTCTGATATTGTCTGAAAGTGGCCACTGGGTGTGTTTCTTCTGGGGGCCTCTTGGTAGGGACTCTGGTGCAGGCCAGTGTCAGACACTGCTTGTGACTGGTCCTGGAATGGTGTTTGTAGCTCAAAGGTATCCACATTTTCGAGTGCCTCTGTTTGGGCTGTACGTGCTTGGAAAGGCCCAAAATACATACCAGGGGCAGATTCTACCATCCCCAGTCCTGGGGGCAAGTCAGCAGTAGTCTCAAGGAACTTGAGATCTGTCTCCACCTACCTTTGTCTGCGGCTACCTGATTGACTCAGTCACTGAAAGAGCCACTGGCAGTACTCAAGTTGCACGAGGGAGGTTCTCAGTGAGTTACCAGGTAAGTGTGAGTGGTGTTCACCAGATTGATAGTGGTTCAAACTCTGCATCTGAGATTGGTCTGAGGCTGCTTAGCACTTGTTCCTACATATACCAATCTGCTGCTACCCTCCAAGTGCCTTTAGACTTTTTGGGTGGGGCGGGGTCACAGGGAATTGGCAAGGGGAGGCCAGCAGAGTCTGGTCTAAAAGAACCAAGATTTGTCTGTGTAAAGGGAGGCATTTGCACTAGTCAACATGCAAGGGAAAAATGGCCACTGTCTTGGAGGCATACTCAGTCTGTCTAAGATTCTGCCAGGATCTTGAGCTCAGCAGGTCAGGGACACTGGGAGTAAAGAGAGTGAGTCTAGTAGATCTGAGAAAGGGAGGTGCTCATGCTTGGGGGAAGGTAGGAGGAGTGGCTTCCTGGCCCCAAAGCCACACAACTCAGTCTGTCCCAGCTTCTGCCCAGACTTCATCAGGGCATCGCCTTTAGGAGTTCAGAAAGCGGGGTGACCTGAAACCCCAAGGGTGGGGCTGGAGGATCTCCCTTGAAATCGAGGCTGTAGTCAGGTTCATGGGTAAGTGGCTGGAATGACCCCTACCCCAAAACCCAAAACCACACAACTTAGTCACTGGCGCTATACCTTCTCATATTGCCCAGACCTTTGCTTTGTGACCCAGGCAGCTGACTCCTCAGCAGGTCCTGAGCTCTGTAGGGTGGGAGATATGAATTCCATAGAATAGGGTAATTGCTTTCTCCAGGCTGATGCCCCATCAAGGGGAGTGTTCCACTCAAGAAAGGTGGCATCTATAAGTACAGGATTGTGACTCAACACAGGTGTCTCAGCAGCTAATCCCTCAGGTATCTCCCTAGAGCCTCTAACCCTAGTCTCTTCTCACAGAACTCCAGTCTGCTCGGCCCTCCCTTTGCCAGAGCCCAAGGTGAGTAGTTGCAAGTGAGATTTTTTTTTTTTTTGGCTCTTTAGGATAGTGCCTTTGTGTTAGCAAACTCCTTTCTCCTTCTGGCAGACAGAATTTTTGCTGGCTTTTATAGCCCGATGTTACGTCGTGCCTCTTCCAAGCTCTGGTGCTATGGCCTGGGGAGCCTGTTGGGTTGAGACCCTGTGTTCCTCAGGAGGAATCTTTGCAGCTGAAATATCTCTCAGCCACTGCCTGTGAGAGTGGAGCCATCCCTTTTTGCCCTTTCCTACCAGTCTTGAAGTGGCTTCTTATGTAAGTTATTGGTTATAGTACTTAACAAGTCTTCAGATGGTTATTCAGATTGGTGGTTCTATATTTTAACTGTAATCCCAGTTTGATCCTGGGAGGAGATGAGTATAATATCCACCTAGTCTGCTGCCATCTTGGAACGTTCTCTGATTTTTTTTTTTAATGTAAGTAGATTTTACTAGAATAATGATTGTTTATTAGAGAACATGATGTTTACATTTCTAAGTTTTGGTGCATCTATCTGATCAGAATTACCTGCAGGAATTCTCTGGGCAGATTAGAGCAGAGGTCTTGTGTGTGGTACCAGTATAGTTCTTAATGACTAAATGCAACTGTAAAATACTGATTTTGTTTTAGGGCTCCAAATACTTCCGCATGTAAGAAGTGTTCTTCCTTTATTTTTACTCTTACTTTTTACCTGTAGCCCTATAGCCCTATAGCTCCTACAGATTATTTGTGCAATACAGGACTTGACTTTAACCATATCCTTTCAGATTGTATTTTGTCTTTTTTTCCTCTCTAAAGTCATAGGTTTGGGGGAAAAAAACACATTTTAAAAATAATTATCTAGATCATTGTGGAAAGAATAACTGTGTTTTGCCTTTTTTCTTGTGTTTATTATATTTTTAAGTAGAGCTCTTTGAGATAGTTGGTATATCACTGAAGCTAAGCTTGTGAACTCTAGAGCTAGACTCCTTATGTGTTCATCCAGCTCTGCCCCACATCAGATGTCTCACCTTGTACAGGTGTTTGATGCTTAAGTGCCTCAGTTTATCATCTGTTAAATGAGGATGACAGTAATACCTACTTTTGTTGTGTCGTTTAAAAGAGAAGTATGCATGAGTTATTTCACATAAACAATGCAGAATGGCATGAAGAAGAATTTATGTATGTGCTAAGTTGAGGTAGACATGTAAAGTAGAGGTTCTTTGACATGTTTGTGATTATGAGAATTTTTATTTATTTTCTAAAAGATTTTATTTATTTTTAAAGCGAGGGGAAGGGAGGGAGAAAAAGAGTGAGAAAAACATCAGTGTGTGGTTACCTCTTGCATGCCCCCCACTAGGGACCTGGCCTGCAACCCAGGCATATGCCCTAGATTGGGAATCGAACTGGGCATGCTTTGTTTCTCAGGCCAGCACTCAGTCCACTGAGCCATATCAGCCAGGGCTAATAATGAGAATTTTTAAAGATTTGCTGTTATATATTACACACATACACAATCAGAAACAGTGCTTAGAGGAAAACAAGTACCAATAGGACAACAATGTAGGCAGTAGTGATTTTATTTATATTTATATATATATATAAATATAATGTGTATTAAAATAAGATCTTTAGATTATTGTGGAGAGAGTATAGTGTGCAATTAAAAATCATTTTTTAAAAAATCATTAACAATAGTGACTAACATTTTTTTAATGCCAGGCACTGGTAAGTGCTTTCTGGTTTTGATAACTATTTCCTCATGTGCCTAGTTATGGAATACTGGAGAATTTCCTTAATGTTTCTTTAAACACTGATATATCATCTATGAGACAAGTATTGATACCTATTCTTTTTACCTCAAAGGGATATTGTTAAAATAGAATGAGATCATTTAGTAAGATGATCAGTGAGAGATGGCTCATAATCATATAATATAAAGCATTAACAAATTAGGTAGCATCTAGTCACAATGGTAATTAACAACTAATCTTGATTTGTCTTGAGATTTTAGCTGTTTCAGGAATAGCTGACTTCTCTTAATCAAAAATATATGTATAATTATCTTTATATGTATTTAAAAATATAATTTAATGTATATGTATCTATTGATAAATAAAGACTTGTGTCGTGCATCTATGTCTATAGTTATGAATCATCTTCTTGCAATACATGGAAATTGTCCAGTTTATTTTCGTTGTGTATTTTGATTAATACTCAGTTATCTCTTTTGTTAGGATAGTGAGCCCATACCTAAATTCTCTTATAGAAGTGTTCTACCTATAAGGTTTTATCACTGACTGCAGGTCTGAACCAACTTTACATTTAATTGTTTACCACTATCTGCAGAGCAGATTTTAATTCCTTTCCACCTCAGCAGCATAACTCTTTGTATTTTTATATTCCTGGTACCTAGCTAGGCAGAACAGAAAAGAAGTTATCTGTACATGTTTATGGAATAAGTAAACTAAGAAGAATGAAAGAAGTCAAACTGGTCTGAGAGTAGTCCATATTTCTAATAATCAGAAAACTGAGCTTTCAAGAAATCTCTAAAAAATGTATTACTGACCTAGGAAGATTGTGTCTTTTAGGAAGAGAATGTAGTGTCAAGTTAAAATTTGAATGTTCTCTCTATTTGTCTCTATTTTGGGGGTATAAAATATAAATGTTGCAACTCTTCTGAAGCTTTTCTTTTAAGTAAACTTAATACATTATAATTCATTAAACAGAGGCGGTCTAGCAGAAAGACTAAATGGACTGCAGAATCGAGAGAGATCTGCCATTTCTTTGTGGAGACATCAGTGTGTTTCTTACCAAAAGACACTCTCAGGTAAGGCTTTCGCGGGCACCTGAGACTGTGGGTAAAAATATGCCAGTTAATTTTATTTTTACATTAAAATATATGAAGTTGATCATCATTATTTTCATGATCCCATTTTTCTTTAGGTGTACTACAGGTCTCAGAAATTGTTCCAAAAGGTATGAATGGAAGTAGCCCATTTGTATAAGATTTTAATGATTCCTCCCCATAGAGTTTCTCATGGTTCAACAGGAGACTTATTCTTAAAGATCTGACTTGGAGCATTCTATACTAGATCCTTTTCTTGCTATATCTTACCCAGGAGCTTTCAGACTTTTGGGATTGTGACCCATAGTAAGAAATATGTTATATCATCTCCTAATACACACATGACATTCACACAATCACACTTACACACACACATGCACAAAATACACACCCCTGAAAGTAATACTTCATAAACAACAATAACCTTAGGATGTTTGATATACTCTGCACTCACTTTTATTTTTACCATAATTGTAGTTCCATTAAATGGATGCAGGCTGTTCTAATGATTTTGAAGTGCAGTTCAAAAGTTGCTACTGCAAGCAAATGACTGAAACTCGTTTCTAACAAGTTTTTTGATTTTTAAAATATTTTACCCACCAAGAAAAGCTTTCTCTCCTTTTCATATGAGAGTGTTCTTTTTCATGATCTCTCCCTGGGTCGTCTCTCCATTTGGAGTGAGAGAAGAGGTGTGTGGGTATGGCCATCTCTTTTACATCTACTATTATTAATTGTCTCTCCAAAGAAGGACATTTAATATATAATAGCCAAGATATGGAAACAATATGAATGGTCATCAGTGGATGGTTGAAAGAAGAGTGGTACATATATACAATACAATAGTACTCAGCCTGGAATAGGAATTAAATTTTGCCATTTGCAACAACATGGATAGACCTAGTAGGTATTATGTCAAGTGAAGTAAGTCAGACAGAGAAAGATAAATACTGTATATATTTTCACTATTCTGTGGGATCTAAAAAACAAAATAAACAGAAGAGACACAAACTCTTAGATAACAGAGAAAAAAAACTGAGTTTCCAGATGGAGGCAGGTAAGGGTGGTCTGGGTGAAAAGGCTGAGGGATTAAGAGGTATGATTGGTAATTACAGAATGTTCAGGGGGATGTAAAATACAGCATAGAGAATATAGTGAATAATATTATAATGACTATGCATGGTGCCAGCTGGGTACTAGATTTATGGGGATGACTCTGTAAATTAAGTAAATGTTTAACTACTATGCTCTACACCTGGAACTAATATAGAACAATATTGAATGTAAGCTGTAATTGAAAAAACGATCAGAATAAATATTTAGGGGGATATAAAATACAACATAGGGAAATATAGTCAATAATATTATAATAACTATGTATGGTGCCAAGTGGAGAGTAGACTTATTGAGGGAATTACATTATAAGTTATATAAATGTCTTATATATTTACCTAAATATATAAGACATTTTATATTTAGACACTATGCTATTTACCTAAAACTGATATAATATTGAAAGTCAACTATAATTGAACATTTTTTTAATTAAAAAAAAAACAGTTTTCCTTCCAGGGTGATGCTTGGAATATGCATTATAATAGACTCACAGGTTATTTTTGCATATATTACAGTGTAAAATAGAACTACAGGTCTAGATAGAACAGTCAACGAGTATCACACATTTCTTTAGGAGACTTTTGAACTCTTATTTATCTTAAAATCCTTTCCAGCTATATTTTAGCAACTGTCTTCTCTCATAGTTTTGTATTAGAGTACTTTGACATAATACTTGATACTATGACCAAAGGGTAATTTTCCTGTTATATGAACTTACGGATCAGCCTGTTGTTACATTTATTACTTTGTATCTTGTCATTTTTGTATCAAGGATTATAATATTAAATAACCATTTTTATAACTCATTTGATCAGTCAAGTAGCCAAGCATACATAAAGATTGCCTAGTTGTATTATTCAGGGAAGTCAGTGATATACTGAGTTAAGCACAAAAAATAACTTAGTAGTACTCACAAATTAAAAGCCAAAGGGAGAAGACCATGCTTAAAGCATGTTGGCTTTGAAAAGTTAGTATATTTTCTCTATGTGAAATCCTGGCTTCAAGTCCAACAAAAAGAACAACTTTTCTAATATTTTATCTGAAATCCTGAAATGATTTTTATTGATATGACTGAGACATGTATCCCTTCTTGAACTAATCATTGATGGGTAGAATACAATATAGAGCACTGTGGTAGCCCAAAGCTTAACTCATGATCATTTTCTTTTCAGACTTATTTAATAAACATCAACTAGAATCTTTATGATTTTACAATATATTATCTCATTTTTCACCTTTTAGTCATCTTTCACATCCTTCTATTTACAAGTATATACATATGCATACTTGACCTATGAAATGTGAATGATCTGGAGCTGAGGTGATCACTTGTTTTCATAATCTATTCACCTCCACCTCTAAATAGTTTCTTTTTAATCTTTGTGTCACTTATCCTTTTAAATTGAGTTTGCAATTCTGTGTATAATAAATTTATTTTATTCTGTTTTAACCAGGAAAATAGTCTTGCCACTAAAATTCTCAAACTTGATCCCTTTTCCTGTTCTGCTTTTGCCACCCTTCTTTGAAGTAATTATATAAATGGTAAGCTTGGATTTCTTTGAGACTGTGTATAAATACTTGAATTATTAAATTTCAGAGAGAATACTTTTATTTCTTAATGATAGAGAACTTCTTTGTATTGAAATGTTGAGATAGGGCAGTGAACTGTAGGATGCAAAAGACAGGGTGGGAAGAAAGATAGACAAGAGGAGATAACAGATGTGACTGGGATACTCATCTTTTTCATTGAGTTTTGCTACAGCACACTTACAAGGTCAGAACATTGGAGGTACCATTTATGTACTACATCGTTGTTCATACCACGCCCTATTATTTTTCTTTCTTCCAAAAAGGTAGAATGCTAATTATTGAGGGCTCTTGGGGATCTTCCAGTCTAAGCTCCTCCTTGGGGTATTAGGAGTGTATTGCCTAGAGGAGGAAAGTGACTTGTCCTGGTTAAAGGGAGTTAAAGGAAGGAACGGAGCTACGCCTAGACTCCTGATTCTCAGTGCCATGCACTTTCAGTGATAACATATTAACAATAGTTTTTTTACTCCTTTACCAGTTTCGTCTTGATAATGCCATTGAGGAGTAACCAAACTCTCCAAACTGGGCTTTATGTGTGCAATAGGTATCTATTTTGAATTTTGTTGACTTTATATTCTTGAAGAATTGTAAATATCTTCAAGGTGAGAGCAAGACTTGGAAAAACTTTATCTGGGACCATAGATTTCTAGGAAATACAGAAAATAGCTTCTACCTGTCCTCTTTTCTCTTTCAACATTATCCTCATAGTTATATCACATTTGGAGTTTCTCTGTCTGGCAGGTGCAATGCTGAGGGCTTACTATTGAATATATATTGTCATTTAGTATTCAAAAGATATTCTAAGATAGAGTTTGCTCTTATTTTCCAGATGAGGAAATTGTAGGTTAAAGATATGGTATAGATAGTAAAGTCAAATTTGAAGTATATCTCAAGTCCATGTACCTATTCACCAATCTATACAGGCATTCATTAGATTATTTGTTTGGGCTGGGGGAAGTTAGGATTAAGAAAGCAAGAGGTTAAGGCATCAGCAAAAATAGAAATATTGATATAAATATGAGTTTTATTTGGGGGAAACTAGTAGTCGTTCAGTGTGTAGGTCTGTATTGCATGGCTGAGACAGCACAAATTGGAACTGCCTAGAACTTAAGGTTGCAGAGACTGTGTTAACTGTGGATCTGTGTAGGTAGGATGCCGTAAAATCTTATGATTTGGATAGAAAGATGGCAGACTGTCTTCTTAATTATTCATATTAATACATACTAGAAATCATTGTATATATATTATTGTCCTACCTTCTCATTACAATAAAGTAACCAAATACTCAAACACAGAGTTAAAAGAGTATTTTCTGGAGGTTGAAATACAAAAATACCAAGTACAGCTGGGTATCTGAAATGAAGAGGGAAAAGATGATCTTTTGTTTGGCTTATAACCACCAAATATCATATTTGGAATGTTCCTTAACAATTTTTCTTCTTAAATCTGGGGACAGAGCGTTTGTAATATTATCATGGAAAAAAAAGAAAGACAAAAGCAAAGTAGAACAAAAAAAAAAATCACCCAAAAATTATTTTATTAATTTGATATATGTGACAGTCTTTAATAGATTTTTCTCTTGGAAATTTGAAGATTTTGGGAATTTGGATTTTAGTTTTTTAAATTTATCTTTAATTTTATTTTGAATTATAGTGGACATACAATATTATGTAAATTTCAGGTATTCAACATAGTGAATTGACATTTCTATATTTTACAAAGTGATTGCCATGATAAGTTTAATGACTGTCACCGTACATAGTTATTATGATATTATACTCTATTCCCTATATATTACATCTGCCTACCTTATTTTATAGTGTGAAGTTTGTACTTCATAATCTTCTTCCCTTTTTCTACCCAATCCCTTACCCTCTTCCGCTCTGACAACTATCTGTATGTTCTCTGTATCTATGAGTTAGTGTTTTTCTTTTGTTTGCTCATTTGTTTTGTGTTTTAGACTCCATATATAAGTGAAATAATATGGTATTTTTCTTTCTCTGTCCTACTTACTTAACATGATACCCTCTAGATCAGCAGTTGCCAACCCTTTTGGCACCAGGGACTGGTTTCGTGGAAGACAATTTTTCCATGGATAGGGGCAGGGGGTGGTAGTGGAGGATTAGGAGGCGGAGCTCAGACAGTAACGTGAGTGAAGTTTTGCTTTCCCCCCTGCCACTCTCCTCCTGCTGTGCGGCCCATTTCCTAACAGGCCTCTCTAGAGTGGTACCGGTCTGCAGCCCCAGTGGTTGGGACCCCTGCTCTAGGTCCATCCATGTTGT